CTTTTTTTTTTTTTTTTTCTTTTTTTTTGAGACAGGGTCTTGCTCTGTCACCCAGACTAAAGTGCGGTGGCGCTAGCGATTCTCGTGCCTCAGCCACCGAGTAGCTGGGATTACAGGCGTGCACCATCACGCCCACCTGATTTTTATATTTTTAAGTAAGGTTTTGTCATGCTGGCCAGGCTGATCTCGAACTCCTAGCCTGAAGTGATCTGCCCCCGTCGGCCTCCCAAAGTGCTGGAATTCCAGGCGTGTGCCACCGCGTCCGGCTTCAAATAGGCTTGGCCTGTTCCACTCCTTTCCCCTAGGAAAAAGTCTATTCAGGGACTGCTTGCCATTTGTCACATCTTAGAGGTTACTGATTTACAGATGAAACCAGCAAATACCTCCCTATGACTGTCCAACTTCCACCCCTGGCATTTAACATTCTTCCCTCTACCCTCATTAGGGTACTTTTGTTTCAGCCAGTTTGGCCTCCTCACTGTAGCTCAAACACACCAAACTGTCCTATTTCTGTGTTTTTGCTCTTACCATCTCTGTCAGGGCTGCCCTCCCTTCTGCTTTTCCTCTTACCTATCCGTTAGAGGCAGCTTAAATTCCCTTCCCTTCAGAGCGTCCAGCCTTCAGTGGTCTACCAGTAACCTGTCGTTGCAGTCCTCAAAATTCAGCAGGGAATTCTGTAATGTTATCAGTGGGAACAGTAAAAGGTGTTGTTGTAGCATAGTAAGTGATAGGGTGGACTAGGGTGCCAGACTCCCTGGTTTCAAATCCCAGTTTTGCAACTTGCAATAACTGGATGGGCTCTCAACCTCTGTATGCCTGTTTCCCAACCCATATGGTTGCTGAGGAGGGGAAAATAAAATAATATATGGACAGTTGTTAGAATAACACCTAGCACAGGCCAGGCACAGTGGCTCACATCTGAAATCCCAGCACTTTGGGAGGCCGAGGCAGGAGGATCACTTGAGGTCAGGAGTTCAAGACCATCCTGGCCAACATGGTGAAACTTTGTCTCTACTATAAATACAAAAATTAGCCAGAGATGGTGGCACACATGCTTGTAATCCCAGCTACTCAAGAGGCTGAGGCAGGATAATCGCTTGAGCTGGGGAAGCAGGGGTTACAGTAAGCTGAGATCATGCCACTGCACTCCAGCCTGTGTGACAGAGCAAGACTCCACCTCAGGAAAAAAAAAAAAGAAAAAAGAGTAATACTTAGCACAGAGTAACTACTGAATAAGTGTCTGCCACCGTTATTATTAACAGCATAACACTCCCCCTTACATTTCTATAGCTCTTAATAGTTCATAAAGCATTTCCACAAAGACTATTATCTCGAGGGCTTCTCATAACAACCCCATGAGATGGGCAGTGAATAGTATTGTACCCATTTTACTAATGAGGTAAATGAGGTGCAGAGAGGTAAAGGGCCTTGCTTGAGGTCACCCAACTAACAGGATATGAAGCAGAGATTTGAACCCAGATTTCTCTGTATCAGTCTTGTTTCCTCAAATACATTCCAACCTCCTGGGAGAGCGAAGATGTTAAAAGAAAAACACACAAACAAAAAAAACCTGGACCTACACAAAGTGAGTGCCAGGCTCTGAGCTAGTGCTTGTGCAATGAAGGTGAACCAAATATGCTCTCACTGGGTAGGGAGAGACAGCCCCACTGAGAGAACTCTAAGGAATCTACTCATTCAAAAAATATTTGTAGGATGCCTATAGGTGATAGGAGCTGTTATAGGCAGGTTATGAAATTAGTTATAGCAAAAGCTTCTTAACTGGGAGGTCAGGCTCAAATATCAACTGTCCACCTTAACAAAGAGATCAACATTTGGCCAGGCACAGTGGGTGGCTCATGCCTGTAATCCTAGCACTTGGGAGGCTGAGGAGGTTGGATCATGAGTCCCAGACCAGCCTGGGCAACATGGCGAAACTCCGCTTCTATAAAAAATTAGCCTGGGCTGGGTGAGGTGGCTCATGCCTGTAATCCCAGCACTCTGGGAGGTTGAGGCAGGTGGATCACGAGGTCAGGAGTTCGAGACCAGCCTGGCCAAAATGGTGAAACCCCATCTCTACCAAAAATACAAAAATTAGCCGGGCATGGTGGCACACACCTGTAATCCCAGCTACTTGGGAGGCTGAGTCTGGAGAATTGCTTGAACCTGGGAGGCGGAGGTTGCGGTGAGCCGAGATCACGCCACTGCACTCCAGCCTGGGCAACAGAGCGAGACTCTTTCTCAAAAAAAAAAAAAAAAAAAAAAAAAGCCTGGCATGGTGGCGCACACCTACAGTCCCAGCTACTTGGGAGGCTGAGGTGGGAGTTCAAGGCTACAGTGAGCCATGATCATGCCACTGTACTTCAGCCTAGATGACAAAGTGAGACCCCATCTCAAACAAATAAACAAAGAGATAATATTTATCCAATATTTATTTCGTGTCCTCGATACTTTACATGTAGTATCTCACTTAGTCCTCATAATAAACCTGAGAGGTAGGATCTATTATTCCTGTTTTTACAGCTGACATGGTCAGAGTGAGTGGTAGTATACCTATCTTGCAGATGAAGGAATTGAAGCTCCCAGCCATTATAAGCTCCCTGCTTATCTTGGGAAAAAAGAGTGATCTTTTTCCCAAGATAACAGCTGACATGCTAATAAAGAATGAGTTTGGCTGGGCGCACTGGCTCACGCCTATAATCCCAACACTTTGGGAGGCCGAGGCGGGTGGATCACAAGGTCAGGAGTTCAAGACCAGCCTGACAAACATGGCGAAACCCCGTCTCTACTAAAAATATAAAAATTAGCCAAGCGTGGTGGCGCTTGCCTGTAATCCCAGCTACTCGGGAGGCTGAGGCAAGAGAATTGCTTGAACCCAGGAGGCGGAGGTTGCAGTGAGCCAAGATCACGCCACTTCACTCCAGTCTGACTGACAGAGCAAAACTCTGTCAATAATAATAATAGTAATAATGAGTTTAACCAGAGTCAGTGATCTGTCAGCTCCCTCAGGCAGTCTCTCCAGTATGTGTGGGGTGTCAAGGAATCCTAGGGCCTACAGCTTAGTTTAGGTAAGGGAGTTATGGGTAATAAAATTAAAAAGGGTCAGATTCCATGAAATCTTGAATGCCAAGCCAGACTATTTGAATGGAAAGGGGCCCCACAACAGCACCTCCTTGCTCCCTGCTGCTGATAACTTGCAGTCAGTTGCCCTGGCCCTGGCCCTGGCCCCTCCTTTTCCTAATTCCCACTCTCAACTCTCAGAGACCTTGACCCAACCCCGCCAGGACTCATGGTCCTAGATCAGCCAGGCATCCCGTGGTCGAGTCTGTCAGGAGTGAAAGAGCGAGTTGTTTTCCAGGCTCTCTCTTCTCCCCACTCAGAGAATTCTCAAGTCCTCAGGTTCCGTGAGAAACTTGCCAAATCCATCCTCCCCAAGCATCCCTGTGCCACGAATTTAGCTCTTCACTCAAAGTAAAATCTCAATGGAAGCAATTTGGCAGAGTGGGAACTCAAGGGAAAACTATCTCGAGGCATGAGGTGGGCCTTCCCCATATCCCTCATGTCTTACCACAGAGATATTCCTGTCATTTAGTTATTTATCTCCCCCAGTTCAAATGTGAGTAACACCGCCTTGTGGGGGAACCCACTCTATGCAACTGTCCCACCTTCCCCAGTCTACCTTTGTCCCACCCCCCACTGCCACTGTTAACCCGGCCAGTGAGGACCTCAAAGCCCTTCTCTCAGTCCCCCAGACCCACACCATTCCTAGCTAGGCCAAAGACACTGCAGCCCCCAGTTGCATTGGGTGATTAATGACCTCCCTAGACGTTGGGGCTATTTTGGGTCCTGGAAGTCATGCCTACAATGACTGAGAGCTGGCCCTGCCTGGCTCCAGCCATCTGTCACTGGAGACAGGCCCAAGCAGGGGGCTTGGAGGTTGTATGCTCCCCAGAAGATTTCCAGGTATGGTTCTGGCTCAGGACCATCCATCTACCCTCCTTTTGGGGGATAGATGGCAAGGAGAGGCCACAGGCCCTACCTATACTCCAGGGGCTCAAGTGGATACCCATGGAGAGAGCCAGAAAATGACAGATCTCAGAATGCCACAGGACCAGGTTGTTTTGGTCTGTTTGAGGCCAGGTGCAGAGGGGATGTTGGGTTCTGTGGGCCCTGCCCAAGCAGTCATAAGGAAACACACCTCAGCAGTGCCATGGGATACACACAATTCACACCTCATACACTCCACAAATCTCACACCAAGGTACAACCTCACAAAGGCTACACAACTAACTTAGAGACTCAGGAACCCTCAACACAATCCTAAAGTACAGAACTCCAGGTACACACAGTCTCAGTGTCACAGAATCCCAGTGATCACAACCCCACGGAGACACAGACTCAGCCATGCATAGCCCAGTGATGCACAACTTAGTAATGCACAATCCCATTAATACACACTCCGAGAGAGAGAAAATAGAGACACACAATCCTTAAGCCACACAAGTCTACCCGTCCCACATCATGCATGAACTCACTAGCTGAGTTCATGTCGGTCTAGGCCCATCTCAGGGTTTTTTCCTTCTGGACACTGACCCTTCATCTTAAGACCCCTTCAGCCAAGAAATGCAGGAAATAGCTGAACCTTTTCCCTGATCTGCCGCAAGCCTCCTCCTTTCATCCCTGGGAGGCGCCCTGCTCCTCACTTGAGGCCCCCTCCTCTGCCTTCAGTGAGAAGCCCTGCCCCCTCCACCATTGTGAGGGACCTCGATGCCCCTCTCCTTTGAAGACAGCGCTTTGAAGAGCGCTGTCTTCCTCCTACTCTGTAAGGAGGACCATCCCCTGCTCCGCCTCTGTCCGGGATCTTGCCTGGGAAGCTCTTTTCTTGGAGGGATGTTGCTCCCTCCATCTATGTGAGGGGCCCTTCCCTCCCTACCTCTGCGGAGCTCCTACCCCACTTCGCTCACTCTTTGAAGGATCCTGCCCCTCCCTTCCCTTCCTCATACCTGGGGACAGCGACCCAGTCACCAGCTGGTAGAGAGATCGCGCTGCCTGCCCCAGCGGGCTCCGGCACCTGCGAGGGCATCGGTTCATGGTTTGGCGGAGAGCTCTGCGTCCAAGCTCCGCCCCCAGGGCCCGGGGCGGTCCGGTCTCCGCCCTCACCCGAGTGGGCCCTGCGTGGGCGGCGCGGGAGGGCCGGCCCGGCATGCATAGGATTGAAACCCTGGAGACTTCCCATGTGCTCCTGGCCGCCTGAGAGGAGCTCACCCTGGCCCCATCATGTGAAGCATCCGCCCCCAAAGTTCCTGGACTAGGGGGGCAGGGAGGGGTGGCGCGGACTCAGCCTTCTCAGAGAGCATTTTTCTGGGTTCTGGCGGGGAGGCCAGGCAAGTACATGTGGGTTTTGAGAAAAGAGCTGGATGGGGAATGAACCGTATCTTTTATTGCCTCCTTTCAGCCCCCCTTTCTCCGCCTGTCGCACTCCTCCCCGCACCCTGCACCCTGCCCCCACCATTTTGGCATAAAGAGCCGAAGGAGTAAGAGGACAGAGTTGTCATGGCAACTCCCCACACTTCCACACTTTCTGGACCAATGGAAGACAAGACAGGAGGAAGGAGAGGAGGCCAGTGTATTGAGGTGGCAAAGAAGAGGCGGCAGAGTTGTGTCCCACTGTTTTCTGTCTCCCGGCTCCAAATTCCTTGCTCTCACAACTGTTTCTATTTGCGTTTGTCTCGGTGCGGCAGGTTTACAGACTCTACCACCACACGCTGGCTACAGCCGAATGCTTCGAGAAGAGCCCCACCCCCACCCCCACCCCCCCACTTCGGTCCCACTGAGCCCCTTTCCCGGACTCTGGACTCATCCCTATCAGGTTACACTCCAAGTAAACCCTTCCAGGACCCTCTAACGCCTTCAAATTCCTGGGAAAGCCTACGGGAGAGATATAGTCCCGCTCTTTCGACTGGGATCCTGCATATTTGTTTGAAAAGCATACTTTTAAGTGGTGGGAATGACCTCCTAACTCTGGGCAAATCTTATCCACTTGACGGCGACCACCCCATCGCGAAGCAGCTCCGTGCGCATGGCTCCTCGCAGCCACACGGGGGCACCCCCGCCCCGGGAACAATACTCAGGGCCGGAGGGACTCCAAGGAGAGATCCCAGTTCGGGGACCGAGCTCAGGACTGGCCAGTCAGGCTCCAACCCTCTCCGCATCTTCTCTTGGCCTTTCTCTCTTCCACTCAGACAGGGCCGCCGCTAAACGTAGCCTTTCCCCTCGGAACCGCACTGCCCAGCGGCCCCACTGGGCTGGGAAGACCCGAGGGATTAGACAGGGGTCCGGGTGGGGCTCGGACTGTGTTTTGTTTTGTTTTGTTTTCCTAAAGAGTCTCCCAGCTCCGTTTTGAGCTTTGGGTTGGGAGTGGGGAAGCAAAACGGTCGAAGGTACCCAGGATGCCCTGAGGTGTAACTTTCCAGCTGCCTCCCTGCAAGCCTGATGGGCCAGGATGACAGGAGCTGGAGTATACCCTAAATCTGATCCCAGGAATCCCACCTGCAGGCAAGGGAAGGCGAGGCCTGGCGCGCGCTTCAGCACCGCGGACAACGACTCCCCTTCGTGCTTCAGCTTAGGCATCTCGCAGCACTCAGAGCTTGGCGCCGCTGCCCGCCCAGAGTCTTCGTTAACACTGGCGTCCCAACCTGATTTGTCTCCCACTATAAAATAAGACGCCCTTCGAGATGAGAGCTCCTGGTAGTACTATGTCTACTTTCCAAGTCCTGTGCGGAGCTATCTACAGGTAGGCTGCTGTAGACCCGTACCACGATTCTTGACGCTTGTCAACATTTGACCTTTCCATTTCCCTTGGGAGGCAGGCAGGCAGCCAGGAAGTAACATTCTCTTTTACAGATGAGAAAGGTGAGGCCAAGAAAACAAAAGTCACATAGTTGGTACACTTCTATTCCTGACTGACCTGAGGCAGGGCATCTCCAAATACAAACGCTTCCGCCACCCAGTCTCATTCAAATAGCTAAGTGCGGAAGGGATGGTTCCATTAAGCAGGAGAACCCCTTAAAGCTGGAAGCAAACACTGACTTAATGTGATGGTATTGAAGGCCCCTAGGCCCTTACTACTCTCAAGAATTCTAAGATGGAGGTGGAAACAGAATTCATGGAAGTGCTGGACAGCGGGCCCTTTGGATTCCATCCAGCTCTGAGGGGCATCTGGCATGCTCTCTCATCTGAGGCCAGCCTGAGTGGCTCCCCTGATCCTGACTAGGGCCTTCCCAGGAACAGTGATGGGGGGTGGGGGTAGGCACATGTTCAAGGCACCTCATCCTAGTCCCCTCCCCCTTCCCAGGTCTCAATCTCACTCCCCTCAGGAAGGACAAGGATCATGGCTTCCCTCCACCTCCCCAGCTTTGTTTTGGCCTCAGGGAGACAGCCTCCCTCCTCCCACTCTGCTGGCTTTCTAGAGCAGGCTGCACAATGAGAGACACAAACACACACATGGAAATGTACGAAGGGTGACACAGTCACCTACACAAACACATGGCTCTTCCTACCAAACCCAGGAACATGCACATGCACAGATGTACTGGTCTCACATACCTCCCCATGTGGGAAAGAGAGGATGCCCAGGCAGCCAAGTGGTTTGGGGGGACATACAGGACATCACATGGAACTTCCCAAGCCTAGAGCTTCTAGCTCTGGCTCTGGAGGAGAAGCAAGAGGATGTGTTTTCCTGGGGTTTGAGTGAAGTTCTGAAAGGTTTGTTGGGGGTTGAAGGATTCAGTTGTAAGAATAATCTGAGTACATGATTTGGTGTGGGAAGAGAGGGCTGACCCAGCACTAACTAAAGCCTTCCTACAGGGGCTAGGTGCTAGAGCCATAAGGTCTCTTGGAAACCAGGCTGGGCAGCTGAACACTAGAGTCCCTCCTTGGGTCCACCTGGGCTATTTGCGGAAAACTTGGTGAAGCAGTGGGGTGTACTAAAGACCCCTATCTGTACCAGGAAGCTGGAGAGGCAGCAAGGATGAGACACGTCATGGACACTCACAGAGCCCTGCTGCAGACATCACCACATGAAAGTACACAACTAGCACCAAACACTAATCTCACAATCACAAAACACAACACAACCTACTTTAACAAATGCTTGCCCAGAGGGCTTATGGTCATGAAGTCTACAAAGAGACAAGCCACCCTAAAGTGGAGCCCTGACACACTCTGGTAGTTACACACCACTTCATACAGAATTACACACTCAAAACACATCATTGCACATATAACAGAGACACATGGTCAAAACAACTTCATCAGTACAGCCAGGGTCCTATGCAACCTCAAACATCTGACGAGACCATACAGTTGCACTGCCACATACAATCACACTCACCCTAGCTGTCACCAAGCCCAGGGCACATGGCAACCAGCTGTGGGAGGCGCGCGCGCGCGCACACACACACACACACACACACACACACACAGAATGACAGGCGCTCACGCACGTAACACCTCCCACTCCAGATACCCTCCCAGCCCTGTGTCACATACGCCCACACCTGCTGCCTCTCCACACCTGCCTCTTCTGTTCCTCCCCAACCCCTGCGGGACCCAAGGCTTTGAACCCCAGTGTCCTGCCGCCCAGACCTGCCAGAAGAGTGCCTGGGAATGGGGCAGAGTGTGGGTGCGGGCCAGGTCGGGGTCGGAGAGGCGGAAGGGTGTGGAGGAAGCCACCCTCCCTCCCGCGACCCCCACGTCACTGACTCACCCGTGAGCTGGTCGTAGGATCCGTCCAGGTCTCGGGAATCGGACAAACTCTCCTTGCGGCCCTGGCCCCGCATGGCCCCCGGCGCCCCGCTCCCGCCCGGTCCGTGGGAGGGGGCGCCGGGTGGCCGGGATAGGGCGCTCACACGGCGCCCCCTGGCGGCCTAGTGCACTGTCGGGGCTGGGGGAGTTCGGGTTGAGGCTGTCTGAGAAAGGGCCCGGGGTCTGAGGTCTACCCGGGGGTCCTGGAGCAGGAGAGGGAACACTAGGCAGCAGGTGAGCGCAGAGCCGGAGGCAGAGCGGAGCTGAGCGCGGAGCCGAGCCGAGCCGCCTCTCTCCTCCCGCCCCCTCCCCGCGGCTGTCACCGCCGCCTCCCCCCTTTGGCGCTGCCGGGATTGGCTCCCCCTACCCCCGCCCCCACCCTTGCAGCCCGGGGGAGGCACCCGGTGAAAGGGTGAACTGCAAAGCGCGGGGAAGGAGACTAGCTCCCCAGCAATCTGCCCCTAAACCAAAAGTCACGGGGCTTGTTGGGGGGAGGGTGGAGAAGAGCGCGGGACAGAAGAGCCACACTGAGAGGAAACCCCGCCCCTAATTCTCAGGCACCCCTTCTCCCTTCCCCCTTCGTCAACACAGTTCTGGCTGAGGCAGAGCCTGGGGTATCATCTCTGAGTCCCCGCTCCGTTTGCCTCCATGTCAGCCTCTATTTTCTCTGTTGTTCCTCCTCCCATGTATGCGTCTCTTGTGGTCCCAGACAGTCCCCACCGTGCTTAAAGCAGGATAGGGATGCAAAGGAAGAGTCAACCCAGCCTCTAATATTAGCAGGCTCATCGTGAGCCAATGGACTACTATTTCGTCTTCTCTCAAGTTCCAGAAGGACCCCAACTCTCACCCACTCCACAACCCCGTCTCTGGAACCTATTCACTCTCAGGGTGCCTCCTTCACTGATCTAATGACCCCCAATAGACCGACTAGGAAGATAAGAAAACTAGTGAACCATGTCAGTTTCTCAGACATCCTTGCTCTTTTGTTCCTCCCCTGCAGCAACTTTTCTGCCCTTCTCTTTTGTCACCTGTCCTGTCCTAGATTCCTTGTTTTCCAGCAGATTTGGGGAGCGACTGACAGGTTTGGGGATCCAAGTCAAGATACACAGTAGGAAAGAAATGCCCTTGTTATGAAACCCCTTCTTTAAGATTAGCTCCTTTTCCAAAGGCAGGGCTAGCACAGAAGCTGGGCTCCCTCATCTCCCAGGAATGGATCCTGAATGTTTGAGCTCCACAGGTCTGACCTTCCTCAGGATGCTTCTGGGCTCCGCACCCAAAAGCCCCCCAACCCCTTGCTATGAGGATGAGCGGCCCTTGTCTGGTGGGTCTGAAGGAGTGACCTGTTAAGACCAAAAACTTTAAAGTGACTCAAGCACACTTAATTTCTTCAATTAGCTTTAATTTCTAACCACTTGATTTAATCAATCCAGCAGGAATTGTGGTGGGAGTTCCAGCCTAAGAGGCGGAGAAGTGGCTGAGGATAAGATTGTCTTTAGGAGCAGTGCCCTGCGATTGGATCTCCCTTGGCTGTGGAGGAGCCTCCACAGACCTGGCATAGAAGCTGGGCATAGAAAGTGCTTGGGCAGCTCCTGTTGAGGTTGTTTTCCAGGAGAGAATGGACACTCTCATTTGGAGTTCTTGGAATAGGTATATGTGAATAAACTGGTAAAGAGAAGGGCCTTTACAATGGAGGGCAAGGAGCCCTCTGCTTAGTGCCCCATGCCCTTGACTCATCCTTATTCACTTGGAGGAAAGGCTGGCAGGAATCCAGAAGTGGCCAAATGGGTTGGCTTGCCTCCTCAATACCACTATGTTTGGAGATAAGGGAACTAACTCCCTTATCCCTCCTTCTACCCAGAGGGCAAGGGAGGTTACAGCTCTGTGAACCCAACTGGCCTCTACTAGGGCCAGGAGACTCAGAGGAAGAAGGAGAGTTCACAAGGGTGGGTAGGGGTCCCCTAGCCAGATGGGAGCAACACCTAGGAGATTACCTTACCTCTATGTTTGAGGAATGAGTCTGGGCAACAGAGATTAAGGAAAAAAAAAAAAAAAAGGCAACACTAAAGACAGTCCCACACAAATCAATTTTTAATAATTTCAACTTGCCACCAGCTCCAGATCCAGCTGCTTTGGGGGTTTATCACCAGGGAAAATACTAAATGCCCCAGGCTGAGCTATCCATTCAGTGATCAGATGACCCAGCCTGTGATCTCTTAAGAACCTACATCTACACATGGCAGCCTGTTAGTGGATTCTCTGGAACTAGCGCATAGCTGCTTAATGTTAGAGCCAGAACTCTGGTTGCCAGGGAGGGCAAGTAACCCAAAGAGATTTTAGGTTAAATGGACAGCAGCCCAGGTGGTCCCAGACATGCTCTCACTGCTGAATTCCTCCACTTATTCCTAGAATATACCGGTGCTGTTTGCTCCCGCCATCCTGAGGGCTTTAGAAAGTGCTTTAAAAAGGGAGGATCTCGAAGCAGCAGCTATTTCAGAGGCAGCTGTGGGGAAAGCCTATAGAGATTCCATGGAAGCTATCCAAGGGAGGAAGCACAAGCCAACTCCCCAAAAGTCAGATTTGCCTGTGGCCCCACCCAGAATCTGAGTGGACAGAATAGAGGCCTTATGCATGATGCTCACCTGGCCTGTTTCAGATGGAGGGCACCCTACCCCCAGGAAGTTCTCTCCCTCCCAGGCACTAAACCACGACAGGAACAGATTCCTCCCCAGAGGAAATTCTCAGGCAGGTTGGATGTAAACAACAGCAGGGTAAGGGGGTGGAACACGTGGAGGGGAGCTTAGCAGAGGCAGGAGAGGCTGCCAGAGGAGGGGGGGCTAGGGAGGCGGGGGAGCTGCTGGAAAGGGAACCAGCAAAGTAGGCACCTTGAGGGCTCCAGAAAACCTGTCAATGTTTATTTCATACATACCCTAAAGACAGAGTAAATGAGATTAGAAACGAAAAGTTAAGGTTGTGACCCTATTGTGCTGATGGGTCAAATGGGTCAGAAGGAGGGGAAAGATAATGGTACTCCTAGTGCCAACACTAAAATTCAAAAGGCGGTGGCCAGACAGCAGAGCACTGGGCAGATTCTCATCTCCAGTTTCCCAGAGGAGTCAACTCTGAATTCAGAAAATAGGAAAACTGGCCGGGCACGGTGGCCATGTCACGGTGGCTGACAGGAACAAACTCTAGAGGATGTGAGAAGAACATCTAGGCTCCCAGCACTTTGGGAGGCTGAGGCGGGTGGATCATGAACTCAGGATATTGAGACCATCCTGGGTAACATGGTGAAACCCCATCTCTACTAAAAATACAAAAAATTAGCTGGGCATGGCGCACACTCCTGTAGTCCCAGCTACTCAGGAGGCTGAGGCAGGAGAATCGCTTGAACCCAGGAAGCGAAGGCTGCAGTAAGGCTGAGATCACGCCACTGCACTCCAGCCTGGGTGACAGAGGGAGACTCCATCTCAAAAAAAAAAAAAAAAAAAAAAGGAAAAAGGAAAAAGGTACCCCATTCCTACCCTACCCTAAATCTGAGCCAAGGGTCCTGATGACTGGACAAAGTGCCAGTGGGGGCAGGGGACACAGATTTCAAGCCAAGCACAGCCCCAGGCCCAAAGGAAGCAGGATGTAGCTCCAGCTATATCTGAGAGTTCATCTGTTTTCAGAAGCCGAGCAGAGCCACTGACTTTCAGGGTGCTGGCATTACCCTGAGGCTTGCCTCACCAGCTCCCGAGAATTAGTCAGTAGCTACAGCTTGTAACCTCAAGACTGGAAATGTGAGGGGCTGTTAGGGAGCCCACTCTGGAAGTCCCCATATTTCTGGAGGCCTCTCCCCACTGTGCCCACCCATTCCTCCCCAAATAACATTATCCCTGGCTTGACCCTCTTGCCCCTGCTGCCCGAGCTCCACTGAAGTGTAGTCTTCACCAAGAGAACTTGGTATCTGTGTTTCTCTGCAACCTCGGGGGCAGCCCCCTCTCCCCTCACTCCCCCTCCAGCCCATGATCCTCATGGGTAAGGGCAGTCAGAGGCTGCTCAGTTAGGCGTGGCCTCAGGAGATAGTGGAGAACTCCTTGAGCAGGACTTCTTGGCTGAGTGTATGGAAGGCCAGGTTTCTCCGGACGTTGGTGCTAATGGATCGAACCTGGGAAAGGGTAGGTGGGGAAGGTGGGAGGGCACAGCCAGAGAGAAAACAGGAGAGAGTCAGTTCCAAACGGGAGAGGACAGTGCCTGCTACAGCGGTCACTAGAAGTGTCTCTCTTAGGAAATGAACCCTTAACAGCTATTATCCCTGCAGGCAAATGAGCAAACAGTTCCTTGACAGCAGGGAAGGAGAGAAGAGGGGCTGATAGGAACAAACTCTAGAGGATGTGAGAACAACATCTGGGCTCCCGGGGAGGTAGAATCAGGCACAGACAAGAAAGGAGGGCTGAGGCTGGCCTCTGTCCCTGCTTTGGCTATGCAGAAGGGGGACTGGGCTGCTCAGTGATCTGATGGAGGAGGAGAAACTGAGGCCAGAGGACTCATGCTCTAGTACCACCTCTCTTTAGATGTGTTTCTAGTCTCTTCACTCTCCCTTTGGATTTATCTACATTTTCGGGTTGGCAGGAGTGTTTAGAGATGCAGTCCTTTTCTGGCATAGATGGTAGGGGTATGATCCAAGGAGGCCAATTTCAATGGCCAGGGCCAGGTGACACTGCTAGTGAGTCCCAGCTTGGGAGCAGGGCCAAGTATTCTTAACTCCTATAGTACTCCTTCTAAGATGCCTGCCCACTCGAGAGGAAAGCCTGGGGCGTATCCTTGCCGTGTACCCACTGCTCACCTCACGTACGCTCTACCCACAGAACCCTGCACGAAGTGTTGCCTGGGTCAGCCTGGGAAAAGCCTGTAGAGAAAGGGTCAGAGGGCCCAAGTCCCTACTCTGAGAGGGTTCCAAGAGGAATCTGGCAGACTCTTCAAGGAGATTTTCCCATAGGAAATAGCTGTGTAGGTTGCCTGAGAAACAAAAACGGAGGGAGAAGGACAGTGTGTCCTCCTGGGGCCCAAAGTCTCAGAAGCTTTCCTTCAATTTCTGCTATGCTATAGGAAACTTAATGAAGTCGTCAGGAAGGAAGCAGAAGAAAGGGCAGCATGGCAAACAGCAGGAAATTTGAGCTCATTAGCTCCAAACCGGACCAGACCCTCTTTGCTCCCCTGTGCTAGGGGAACGAATATGAGCAGAAATGAGTAAGGCCATGGTGAGTGTCTCAGAGCCTCAAGACACCGCTCCTGTAACCCTCTCCAGCTCCTCACAGATTGCTCTCTGTTAACCACTGGCTCCCAGTACTTCCTCCACATCAACTTGAAGACTTGCCAACCATTCCATAAAAATGCTCTACTCTGCTATCACTTTACAGTAATGATTTCTGTGTTCCAAATGAACTCACCCCAGAACATGTCTTCCTGACCCTTTGGAAGTCCAAAATCCTGAGGAATGTCATGTCAGGAACAGAGTTGGGCTATGTTTAGCACAAGACAAATGATCTAAAATGCAGTGCCTTTACCACACACTTGGCATGGGGTAAGTAAAAGCTGAGCTGATGCAAGTTCAGCCCCAGCAGAGGGAGGTCTAAGGATAGGGAAAGTGGGTACAGAGGCCTGCATGTCCTGGTCTCAGTTCCCAGCCAGGATGTTTGTGTAAAACCAAGCTGGTAGGGTGACAGGACTGCAGGGAAGCTGAGCTTTTCTTGAGAACAGCTCAGAGTACAGGGCAGGAAAGGGACCATCAATAGGGCTAGCTCTGTGGAGACACTGACTGGGAAGTTAAGTAGGAGGCACAGCAAATGCTCATGGCTCCAAGTGCCCAAGGGCTGGGGCTGCAGGAAGCTGAGTGATTAGAAAGCAGGGAGCGGAGACTGGAGAACTAGATCGGGAGGGGACTCAGACCAGCGGCCAGTTAGGAGTTTGGGAAGAAGTAATTCCATAAGAAGGGGAAGAATCAATTACTCTTATTAGTTGCCCTGAGGACAGGTTAAGGAATAATGAGCTAGATCTGCCCCTGGGAACACACATCAAACCCCAGGCCCAGCTGGAGCTGTGCAAGGGCTGTCTCCATGGCTGCAGAGGAGAAGTAGGCAACACCACCTCAAATAGCATCTTCTCTTACTGCCTGGTACAGTGGCGGAGAGAAGTTGCATACCCCATCCCAGCAGACCCCTCAAGTCTTGTTTTATCTGCCCTTAGCAAACCGCAGTTGTCCCCTAGAAGCCCATCTGCACAGTAGAACCCAGTGGCTGCGGGTGGGCCCTTAAGACACAGGCAGAGGCGGTGGGGCACTTACCAGCTCTTTGAAGAAGGCAGCTTCCTTGTGCTGCTCTGAGTAGCGCTCATACTGGTCCAGGCCGTCCTGCAGCTTCAGTGTGAGTGTGTCATAGTTGGCTCTCACCACCTCCAGCACCTGGGGGACATCAAGAGCCAGGCAGGGCTTAGGCCATGCAAATCCCACATCCCTTAGCTCCACGCTGCTGATCTACTGGTTTGGGTTTGGTCTGTGACAACACCCCCAAGAAACCTTGCTCATTACTTATCTTCCAGAAAATAGCCTGGCTACAGGGAACGATGCCTCAGGTTTCTGGGACCACTTTCTCTCTCTCTTTTTTTTTTGAGACTGAGTCTCGCTCTGTCGCTCAGGCTGGAGTACAGTGGTGTGATCTCAGTTCACTACAACCTCGGCCTCCCAGGTTCAAGCGATTCTCCTGCCTCAGCCTCCCGAGTAGCTGGGACTACAGGGACACACCACCACAGCTGGCTAATTTTTATATGTTTTAGGAGAGATGGGGTTTCACCATGTTGGCCAGGCTGGTCTCAAACTCCTGACCTCAGGTGATCAACCCACGCTGGCCTCCCAAAGTGCTGGGATTACAGGTGTGAGCCACCAAGCCTGGCCAACTTTCTAATCTCTCTCTTTTTTTTTTTTTCTTTTTGAGACAGAGCCTCACTCTTATCGCCCAGGCTGGAGTGCAGTGGTACAATCTCGGCTCGCTGCAACCTCTGCCTCCTGGGTTCAAGTAATTCTCATGCCTCAACCTCCTGAGTAGTTGGGATTACAGGTGCGTGTCATCATGCCTGGCTAATTTTTGTATTTTTAGTAGAGACGGGATTTCTCCATGTTGGCCAAGCTGGTTTCTAACTCCTGACCTCAGCTGATCCACCAGCCTTGACTTCCAAAAGTGCTGGGATTACAGGCATGAGCCACTGCAACCACCGCGACTTTCTAATCTCTTCTATTCCCTGCCTTTCCTGAACAGCCCAGCCTGGCCACCAAGTCTGTTTACTCTGAGTATGGTAAAAGAGCATGAGAAGAGGTTATAGAACAGTAAGCATCTCAGCTTACCAGTATCCCTGACACCACAAATGTGCTCTCAGCCTTATCCTGAAGCTTTCCCTGGCCAGGTTGTCACAGTTGCTGAGTAAGACTTTGCCAATGTCTCCTTCCTTCTCCCATTCTGGGAACCACATTTCTTCAGTCTTGGGATGTTCCTCAGCACCATCTGCTACTTGTTTTCATTGCTCAGTGCCAACTCAGTCTTCTTATCCAGTGCCTGGACTGAACTTCAGGGCATCCCAGCCTTTGGGTATAGGGTACGCTTTCAAGACTAAGCTAGAGCCTTTGTTCTGTGGGGTTTTCCTCCCACAACACCTCTCTGATTTTCTATGTGGGGAGGATTCAGACTTCCACTGACTCCAGGAACCTTGAATATCTGTGGTTACAGAAAGAAGGGACTGTTCATAACCAGGCCAGATGTCACTTCAGCTTATAATATCATGAATCAAAGGCAGGGGCAGTTGAGGGAGAGGCACTACACATCAAATCAGAAGAAGTGAGCTAGGAAGAAAGGGGAGACCAGGAGAGGGGATGATCATTCACTCTGATCATCAGAGTGAAGTTGATCTGACCTGGAGGAAAGCCTATGGCATTGTGGAGCACTCCCTGCTCAGTAGGGAGCTTGGAAGAATTAGTGAGTGACAATGAACACACAGCTCTGATAGAAGGGGGTGGGGAGTTGGGAAGACGAAATAAGCCAGAGTCAGGATGGAGGACAGGCTCCTGAGGGGCCCAAAGGTGCCTCTGCACTGCTCCCTGTACCAGTCCAAATTTGTGCCAGGCAGACTTCACTTGGTAGCAAACACTCTGGCTGCCAAAAATTCCTGAGGAGACAGAAGGGCTGGACAGCACAGGGAAGACTTGTGTCCCTATGGGAGAGTTACTGAGTTTGGTTTGGGAAGGAAGGAACGGCTAGGGCAAAGGTCTGGCCCAGCTTTCTTCCCTTCAGACACCCAGTTCTACAAGATCATTCTGCCTGGTGTGTCCCATAGACTGAAGTATAGGCTGGTTCCTCTACTTCTCATTCCATTTGTCAGTTCTGTAGGCAGGAGGACTGGTACCCAGCAACAGCAGTCACCCACAAAGTAATCTGGTCCTCTCATGCACGTGGGCTGGACTCGTGGCTGGAATATCTGCAGCCAAGGTCTTGGCTCAGAAGTGAATGGCTCAAGCCCAGAAAAAGGCAAAATTCCTCTAAGATGGAATCAGCCCCTAGGAACCAGGCAGAATAGAATAATACATGTTTTCCTATGCCCTGAAATCTGGGGAGCTTCATCTATGCTTAAGACCCAGCAACTTGGACTCAGCCTTTCCTGAGGGGTATCAAGTGCCAAAGGACAAACGTCATGCTAAAGTCAATTTCTGCGAAAGAAGTTACTGCATGTGAAGAGATGGTTGTACCTTTTGACCACATCCTGAGAGCCTCAGGCTGCAGGTAAGGCTGCTTTGACCACCTGGACTTTCTCCTCTTGCCAGGGCAGGGGAGAAGGTCTAAGGTCTCACTTAGAAGAGTGATTTCTTCCTATCCCAATAAATCTGGCTTTTGCCAGCATGGTTTAGTTTAGTTTGTTACAGGGAGGTGAGAGCAGAGAAGGTCCCTGAGCTACTAGCTCCTTGGAAGAAAACCAGAAGCAGCCGGACATGGTGGCTCACGCCTGTAATCCCAGCACTTTGGGGGGCCGAGGCAGGCAGATCACCTGAAGTCAGGAGTTCAAGACCTAGCTTGGCCAACATGGTGAAACCCCGTCTGTACTAAAAATACAAACATTAGTGGTGGTGCACACCTGTAATTCCAGCAACTTGGGAAGCTGAGGCAGGATAATAGCTTGAAACCCAGGAGGTGGAGGATGCCATGATCTGAGATCGCGCCACTGTACTCCTGCCTGGATGACAGAGTGAGACCTTGTCTCAAAAAAAAAAAAAAAAAAAAGAAAAAGAAAAGAAAACCAGAAGCCTGGCTGGACTTATGGTGCTTGTGATCTCAGCTCTCCTCTTGTCCAGACACTGCCTGTTGCCACCTCCCCCTTCCCTGGCCCTTTCTTTTTTTTTTTCTTTTTTTGAGACAGAGTCTTGCTCTTGTCGCCCAGACTGGAGTGCAATGGTGCAATCTCGGCTCACTGCAGACTCCACGTCACAGGTTCAAGCGATTCTCCTGCCTAAGCCTCCTGAGTAGCTGGGATTACAGGCACCTACCACTACGCCCGGCTTTTTTTTTTTTTTTTTTTTTTGTCTTTTTAGTAGAGACGGGTTTCATGATATTGGCTAGGCTGGTCTCCAACTCCTGACCTCAGGTGATCCACCTGCCTCGGCTTCCCAAAGTGCTGGGATTACAGGCGTGAGCCACGGCGCCCGGCCTTCCCTGGCCCTTTCTTGTGGGCTTACTTCCTTTCTTCCTCTTATACCCAAGGAAAGTTGCCTGTCAGTTCATCTAGTCTCTGCTGTCTCCTGCCCTTGTCACTTTTTTTTTACTCCCAAGGGAAAAAGATATTCTAGGCTCAGGTCTGGGCCCCAACCCATCCAAGACTTCAGAACACTAGCAGGTACTTGCCTAGCCTGGGACTTTGCTTTCTGTAGTTTCAGACTTAAGGAACATGTCTCATTTGAGTCTCAGCACTGGCCTGGGACATGGTGAGGGCCACACTTAGGCAGACAGCCATCTCCCAGAGCCTCTGCCTAAAGGCCTGAGGCTTCACCACAATTTGCAGCCACAGTATCTGCTTCCTGGCAACTCTAAAGGTCCCTCTCAGGTTGAAATCCCTTTCCAATCCATCAGGTAACAGTCTACGCCCCCGCAAGCACAAGGCTACCTTCTTTCATCGGCTGTTGGGCTTGTGGGCTTCCTAGAATCATGCCAGCCACCTCAGCTCAAGGTAGCCTCAAAGCCCGTAAGTCACCTACAGATCACATGCTCTCCAAGGAATCCTCACACCACCACCTATGACCCTTAGGAGACAGAGAGTTGAGTCTTGGCAACAGCCTGATAGAAAGTTAACTGAGCTGGCCAGGCACGGTGGCTCACGCCTGTAATCCCAGCACTTTGGGAGGTCGAGGTGGATGGATCACGAGATTAGGAGATCGAGACCAGCCTGACCAAGATGGTGAAACCCTGTCTCTACTAAAAATACAAAAATTAGCTGGGCACAGTGGTAGGTGCCTGTAATCCCAGCTACTTGGGAAGCTGAGGCAGGAGAATCACTTGAACCCGGGAGGCGGAGGTTGTAGTGAGCCGAGATCATGTCACTGCACTCCAGCCTGGGTGACAGAATGCGATTCTGTCTCAAAAAGAAAGAAGAAAGAAGAGAGAGAGAGAGAGACAGACAGAAAGAAAGAGAGAGAAAGAGACAGAAAGAAAGAGAAAGAGAGAAAGACAGAAAGAGAGAAAGAAAGAAAGAGAAAGAGAAAAAGAAAGAAACAGAGAAAGAGAGAGAGAAAGAAAGAGAAAAAGAAAGAGAGAAAGAGAGAAAGAGAAAAAGAAAGAAAGAAAGAAAGAAAGAAAGAAAGAAAGAAAGAAAGAAAGAAAGAAAGAAAGAAAGAAAGAAAGAAAGAGAAAGAAAAGAAAAAAGAAAAGAAAATTAACTGAGCTTGGAGTTCTACTCTTGTTATGGGACTTCAGACAATTCACCTAGCCTCTTATTATGGGACTTTAGACAATTCATCTAGCCTCTGGGAGTCTCAGCCCTTTTCTCTGTAAAATGGAACTTGAACTCACCTTCCTAAAATGACATGGGAATAAAAGTTTTTAAGTTCCTGAATAAAAGTTTTAAATAACATACAATTGATGGAAACACTGTCATCCCAATGGCTACACAGCTACCTAGACAGTTCCTATGACTCAAAAGTAACTACTTTCACAGTCCAGGAAGTACCTGCCTATTTCAAACTGTCCCAAAGATTCTATGTGCATAAGTGATTCCTCACCACAAAGGAACATCTTCTGGGTTCAAGTGGAAGACAAGGGATACAAAAATGGACTCAGTTTCAAAGATCTCATGCCCTCTTCTTTGCCTCAAAACACTTTGCCTCAACTTAAGTAAGGGGAAAACAAAGCGGGCAATGTTTGGGAGGGCCTAAAC